CTCGGGGTAAGCACTCTCTTTCTTTCCCCTCTGGAAGTGTTTACTTAGCAGCGACTACAAACTTGTACAGTTACAGCAACAAGAGAATCAGCAGAGGGAAGCTGGCATTGGGAGCAGCTGTCCTGGGACCAGGTTAGGTAGCTACATGAAACCATAACAGTAGTTCAGCCCAGAGACAGGTGCCCCTGGGGAAGATGGGCAGGCAGGCCACACGCAGTGCTGAGAGGGAAAGGTTACTGTGGTATATTGTATAGTTTAGCTGTCAGGAGGAATTACATTCAAGAAAAATTTCTGAAGTTCCAATTTTATTAGTCTGAAATTTAAAGTTCCTTTTGTTGAATCATGCAATTGAACGGGTTGTACCCAGCTGTGTATTAAGTACATGTAGATATAGCGTAACTCTAACTTGTAGGTATGATATACAATGTAGTGTAGTGTAACTCGACCATTTTGGCTGTTACTATTAGGGCCTGGTTGCATTTGCAATGGATGATATGTTGTGCTGTGCAATATGTTGTACAAATTGTTAGCTGTTACAGAAAATACTGCCTTGTTGGCTCCTGTCGCAGTTTGCTTCAAAATTAGATATCATCAAAACAATGAGACATGTTTATGAATGCCAGGGTCTGCACACAGCTGACTCTTATGGGTTACAACAGTGTTACTACGTACCAAAAGTGCAAGTTTGTATTGCATGTTTACAGAACAGACATGACTGGGGACCCTGAATCCCAGCAGTGATACAAATCTTTTACTTGAACAGTCACCTGGCCTCCCTAATGACTCCATACATACAAAAGAACCCACCTGTCCTGGGAGCTAATGTGCCCAATTAGTGCTGATTTGCCTTGACTTGCTTTGGGCTATTGCCATTGGTAGGGTATGGTGATTATCAGGGGAGAACCATTTCATGGTGTGATATTGAAAGTGGTTCTTAAAACATGAAAGTGCTCTGTAAACATCTGTTCTCTCCAATTTTTATAGTCCAATGTTTGTATATTTCATGTTGAGATGGAACAATTTTGTTTGAATAGCTATATATAGGTATAGATTGTTCTAGACCAGCAAATCATGCAGGGAGGATCAAGGTTACTGGTAAAACCTATAGCACATGGGGTTTGATGCACACATGTACAGTGTGGAAACTGACACACACATTTAGATTCACACTTGAAGCAGGGAGGAAACGTGTGGCCACAAAGCTGACATTTCTCACATAACCATTTGTCTTGGAGCAGACCGCTTGGTCAATCAGTACTGGAGAACGCTCCAGGCCAAGTAGAAAGAAAGCAGAGACACAACCGTGCCAACTTGTGTATGGTACTTTGGCAGTGACCCCAGTAGGTGGGAACAGGAGAGGGGCACCTATGGAGGTAAATGGATCCCAGATCTGCCTCTGATGAGTGGAAACATTAGCAGTGAGGCTGGACCACCCTGGCTGTCCAACAACTCAACACCTGCTCAAAGTTGTATGGAAAATAAGCACATCATGGTATGTTTGGTAACGTCTTACACTGAACCTCTTTTTTCCTTACTTTTCTGCAGGTCTGTGCTGTTCTAGTGGATGTCTGATGGGTTGACACGTATGCCACCCTCGCGGATGCTTCCGTCTAGAGTCCTTGGCATTCCGTGCCCCTCTGTGCCACTGCTACCTTTGGACGAGTCTTCCACGTTGGAGTCTAAATCTGAAACGTGCAATGTCATGAGCGTGAAAAAGAAGGCGTTCTTCCTCACCATCCTGGGAAGCACCTTCCTGATAGTTCTTCTCGGCTACATGGGGCACATCGGCGCCAGCATGTGCTTCACCGCGGAGTCCCGCCACACCAACTCCCAGCCCCACATCGTCAGTGTCCACGACACGGGCAGTAGGATGCACGACGGCACATGGCAGAAGTGGTGACGGTTCTGTCATCATAAACTCTGATGGTTGGAGTGAAGACGGCATGTTGCATCTGAAAAAGACCAAAAAGCGCCTTCCCAAGGCAATTATCGTCGGCGTTCGCAAGGCAGGGACTCGAGCTCTCCTCGAAATGCTCAACCTTCACCCCAAAATCGCCAAAGCTTCCTCAGAAGTCCACTTCTTCGACATCGCAGAGAATTACGAGAAGGGACTGGACTGGTATCGGCACCAGATGCCGTACTCCTACGCAGACCAAATCACCATCGAGAAAAGCCCGGCTTACTTCATTACAGAAGAGACCCCGCAGAGAATATACCAGATGAACAACACCATGAAACTCCTGCTGATAGTGCGAGATCCGACAGAGAGGGCCATCTCTGACTATACCCAGATCTACTCCCACAAGCAGGAGAAGAACAAGAACTACGACAGGTTTGAAGATCTGGCTCTGGACCCTGAGACCAAGGAGGTTAACACCCACTACAAGGCAATAAGGACTAGTGTGTACCACAGGCACATGTCTCAGTGGTTGAAATACTTCCCACTAGAACAGATCTGTGTGGTAGATGGAGACAAGCTGGTGAAAGACCCATTGCCAGAGTTGCAGCGGGTAGAAACATTTCTAGGCTTAGAGAGATACCTTTCCAACAAAAACTTGTACTATAACGCCTCTCGAGGCTTCTATTGTTTGCGGAATGACACAATGAACAAGTGTTTGAGCGACAGCAAGGGAAGACAGCACCCTGATGTGGACCCTAAGGTCATCGCCAAACTGCACCATTACTCCGCAACATAACAAAATGTTTTACCAAATGGTCCAAAGGGAGTTTGACTGGCCTTAGTTGCACCCAAAGGTATTACACCAAAAGGTATTGGGTATACATAGCAAATTGTCTGTTGTCACAATACTTAGCACTCTTACCATCCTGACCTCATTTATGACAATGGCCTATCCAGTATCACAGGATTTGATTCCATCCTTGATTGGCAGAAATGGGACGTATGTCAACAGAAGACAAGGAAAACAAACGTGCAGGGAATCCATATTACCACTGTACAACAAACATGTTTGTTTGAAACAGTCATTGTTGTTTACTTTTACATGTGGTTTGGTTTAGTTCATCCATGGAAAAAGGTATAGGGTGCTCGATTTCTGCCAATCTGGTGACACACGTGGGTTTTATCTCATTGAACTGGATCGGCTGCTTATTTATGTCCAGCAGATTTAAGCCTCTGCTCCTGATTGGTTGAAGAGGTGATGACCAAATATATCCAGCTTCAATGGGAAGGACTCTCCTGTCATGTTTACTGGTTGGCCAATAGTTAAATATTTGTTAATTAACTTATTTCAATCTCCACTTGACTGTTCAGTTAAAAATGTGCCACAATAACATTGTTCATGGTTTAAGTTGCACACATACAGTGTGATGCATTGTATATGATATGTCAAAGTTGACGGCCCCTTGCAATACGTAAAAAATGGCCAGAGGCCTTAACTTGACATCTTTCTCCAAGTGCACCTGATTTGTACTATGAACTAGCTTATTGTAAAGATGTATGATTGTAAACTATTCGGGTCATATTTTCAATGACAAAAGCTGTTTCATTTCAACATTCTCATTAACACAGTATACAAACGGAACAGTACTACTTTTTCACTTACCTCATATGCAAGGAAGGCGAAATTCCTTTCTATTACCGGTACTTTTCAGTTGTCTCTATGTTAAATTATTCCATCAAAGCAGAAAACAAACAGAAAGTCATAACCTTACATTGAACCTAACAAAGTTAATTCAGTCTGATTTAAAACAGTATCCCATTTGACCGTTGTCTGGTCACTTTTTTTTCCTCTGGTTCTTCAGATGTCAGCGATAGAACAAACAGTGTGTTTACAAACGTCCAATTCTAACACCTCACAAATTGCAGTGTAAAAATTATTAGAATTGGGCCAAAGTACTTTTACCCACCTTTATTTATTTCACCTTGCATTTTTATACAGTTTATTGTACATGTATGACCAGTTTGTTCCTGTTGCTTTCACCTTACATTTCAGGTCTTGTTTTTACACCATGATTTGACTCTTGACAGAGTGCTATATCATCACACAGTATGGGGCATGATGGCAAACTTTTTTCAGAACTCATGCCTTCCTGAATGTAACCCTCTGGGAATGAGCTCAACTTATACAACCTGTCATCATTAGATGAAGGAAAGAAGTACCAGAGACTCTTCTCAGACATTAGTTTTACTGAGTTTGTGGGGATACTTAATTAGATACAATGTACACATACTTAATAATTTGTGGGGTCCAAACGTTAAGTATAATGGTGCAAATGTACGGATATCCTGTCCTGTCCAACTTGCCTCTTTTCAGAACTACTACCGGTAGTGTGAGAAATCTATCTATTCAAACTGAAAGCAGTGTGTACCAAAGGTAAAGTTACGATCATCTGTGATACAACAGGTGACTGTAACTTTTCCTTTAGAATTTCCTAAAGGACTCCTTTCTAAAAAGCATTACACCCCACTGTACGTTAAAACATAGTAATGTTGAAAATTGACATGTTAATGTACATGTTAGTGGATACAAATTTTGTTTGACACTTCCCTATGACTACTTCAGAAGCACCACTATAGTGTTGTGACTGGAACTGCACCTGTGATAAGGCGAGAGACAATATTCCTGCACTCTGGTGGGCGTGCCACCAGCGTGGGTCCTGCGGAAAAATGGATTGCAATGCTTACTTCAGGGAAGCATTCTGATTGGTCAGGAAGAGACGAAGCGATCTGATTGGTCAGTCTGCAGCATTTGTTAACCTTTTCCTAGTTGACTCTAGGAAATGATCCCAGTGCCATGTATTGAGACTACTTTTAGTGCCATGCACTTATACTGGGACGGAGGACTACATTAGTCGTTTCCGCTCCCTTATCTGTACTGTGTACATCTTTTGCATGTGAGTTGAATGTAGTAGAATGGATATTTCTGTATTCGAGACAGAGTGACTGTGAATATGAATGTTTCTATGATGTATCTAAAAGTGTAAAGTTTGTCCAGCATTTTTGCCCGGCAAATTGCGCTATCCCGAAGGAAGATTTTCTGTATATTGGACTGATTGTGTGATGCGTTCTGTGACGATGAAGTGCTAGCTGTGCACACTTTGGGTACCAAATCCTGTATAGAATTATATATTTAACCCTCTCAGAGTTGGGGCTGATTAGAATCAGCACATGGTACTGTGAGGGTTGAAAGACTTTGGGGATTATACATTTTGTCCAGAAAACATTCCATCCCCTAGAATAATTAAGGCCACACCTGCATAATTATGCAGAAAGCATTTAGCTAACTTGAAATGTTAGTATTGTACTTCTTAGTATTTTATGTTCAAAAGATACCCTGTAAAAAGGAAGGAAGTATATAGTGGTCAAACTAAGTTATACTGTAGTTTAGTGCATAGAGAATAATAGCTGGTATATATATTCCCTATTGTTTAATATTTATGGCCAATTTTCCCCCTATGTGCTTGTTTGACATGTTTTGTTCATCTTGTCTGTTCTGAGAGTATTGGATGGTATAACACAAACAGTATAGTTATGTGGGTGGTGATAAAGTCTTTGTATTTGAACAGGATTCTCAAAGCCTGACCCACCTTGTGAAGTTACAACAATCTTCTGCTTGTAGGGATTAGGCAACAAACACAGATACAAGTAGTTCACAAGTGTTGACTGAATGATGGAAAGAATTCTCAAAATCTCAATGTTGTGGAAGTGCTTCTCCAATGCCTCAGTTTGATTCATGTTGAATTGGGCAATGTTACAAGTTCTACACCATATGTTCATGTTGAATTCTGTTTATGTACTTAAATGTTGATTCAAGTTCCTGACTGCAACCACTGCAGACCACAACCCACACGTAGGATGTACCCTTGTGTATTAGGCAATTCTGGCTCATTTTGTGAATTCTAAGTGTGAATGTGGCGCTGTAAGATTATTGGCTTTGTACATTGTGCTGAAATCTATATTTTTGTATATTGTATATGAAACTTAAATCCATGGAAAAAACTGCAGCCGTCTCATTGGGTTGGTTCGTAACTTGAGAGATGCTGGAAATTTAACCATGTGGATGACAGGGCTTTTCGGTCAAGAAAAGTTGATAAGAAAATGTATTGTAACCCGTAAATGCCCTGAGCTGGTAGTTTTAGTAATCATAACCTTCACTGCCCCTACATTTTTATATACATGTCTATAACGTGGAAGCCAAAATCAGATGGTTTCCCGCTGGTTCCATTGTTGTGATGTGTCCTCCTCATGTTCTGTTGTTCCAAAGATAACCACAGATATATTCCTTCCCGCCAGTGTTACTTGATGCGTAAAAGTTATTGAAAATAAAATGTTGAAATTCAATGTATTTCCAGGAAACACTGCATTTGTTATTTTTGTTTCTTGCTTCATTTCTAAGATGGCAAGGTACACACACGCACACACATCCATACATGCCGAGATCACAAACTTTAATATCAGAAAACAGACATCTATGACTGTAGAGATTTTATTTGTAATGAATTTGATACAGTCTTCCTCTTTGAGCCACAGCAAATGTTGTCATTGTCGTTAACTAAACCCAAGGCATGATTACATACACATACATCACTCTAGATTACATGGACAATGATTGTTTCATTAGAATCATTACAGATGTTAGTAACAGTAGAATTTGTTAGTCTGTCAAAACTGGCAAATTCAAGAACCACACCCCCAAACACAACCATGAGTTTTTCTATTATCTTTACCCTTTACTAAATATTTAAACATTGTTAGTAATTGTCTATTATTGCACAATACTACAGGAAACAAAGACATAGATACACAATCTCTAACTTAAACCAAAATTTTACATCCTGTATAACTGATATATATACCTGTCTCATCCTTGAGTAACTTGTTTCCTAGTACTTTCGAGTCTGTTAAGAAAACATGCAAGTTGATCTATTGGAATGTGACATGGAAGACTCACTGCCACTAGTATTATAATGACAATGACAATGACATGAGATATTATAACTAAATGCATTATCTACATGCAATTGTAGTCAGATCATATATTCATTTCTAACTGATGCAGCAAGCAAAGCAGCAATGGTCCAAGACAATGCTCCAACATGGCATTATTTTGTACGATCAATTGGCTGCAAGATAATCAAAATTCCTATATTTCCAGATCCTCTTCCCTAACCTCTAGAACGTAACAGAACTTCCATTAAATACTTGTGTGGGTAGTGAACAGACAATTCAAAGTTTATTGATTTATGCAGTAATATTGGGACTGCTGTACATTATGTGAATTTCAGCTTCAACTACATGTATAGATCTTTAAAGGTCTTGTTAGTTGGTTGGGCAAGTGTCAATGATGACACCTCCAGAGAATCGTGCAGCTTTGCGGAAGTCCTGGCCGATGTCGTTGACCTTGACGTTGCGCATGCAGCCAACATACGTCTCCTTGACAACCAGTTCGTGTGTCTTCATGTCATCTGTAAGGGAAAGGGGATACTGTCAGAATTGGAACGTTTACAGGCAAATTTTTAACTCTAAATGATCTGATTCCAAATTCAGAGTAAGAACTAGAAGTAGTTTGAGCCAACTGCTTTGTATATCCTCATAGCTGATGTTAAAGATTTGAAGTACGGAGGATGGCAACATGCAAGTATGTCAACCTTTAAAGGATGTAAAAGCCTGCCTTGCCACTCACTCTGTCTTTGAAAAATGGTTATCTTTGAAATTAGTTGTACATGTAAATACATTCATTCGACTACTGAATGAAACATGAACACAGCAGTCCTATAAGACTTGCCATACAGCTCACTATTCTCCAAGCATCATCAAAGTGTAATTGGTGGAAGAAGGCCAATATGAATGAAAGCAATCTCAGACATGACTACCCTTGACCAACAGAAACCTCTGCTTGGGGAATGACAGCTTACTGTCCATACCTGGCACACCGCCCAGGTAGAGCGGGTCGTTTGTGTCAGTGCGGCTGTCACCGGCGTCGTCGTCACGTTTGGGTGGGAGGACGTCCTTCTCATCCACCTCCATCATCAGCACGTTCTTGGCTTTAGTCACTGTTGGAAAAACACAGCAGAAGGTATGTTTATCAGATATCAAACCTAAGGCCCCAGTCACATACATGTGTATGTGGTGTGATCATTGTACGATTCTGAGCTAAGGGCATATTTGGAATAATCATGCATGTGTCCTATACTGTACATTATCACTGCATTATTTCTGAACTAGCCTACTGTAATTAAATGATTGAATATTTTGGGGACTACATAATAAATTGATCTTTTACATGTAACAAGTCAGTCATAAAAAGCTTGATCTGGTAGGATTTATCCATTTACATGTATGATGAATACTATACAGTGTAATATTAAAATGAAACCTTGAATGTTCTCAAATGACACCTACCTTCAATCTTGTGCCATTGTCCATCACACAACTCATGTTTGTCCTTGGGCTGAATACTGAAGACACCCCCACCATTCTGGACATGAGCCACCACCTGAAACATCAACAAATCATCAGTACACCAGACACCTTTACAACTGTCAAACAATAACTTTTGTACATTGTCAAATAGTGTTAGGAATTTAGAGGAAAATATATGACATCACAGTAGGAATTATTTTAATGTTTTTTTTGCGTGTTACTCTATTGACTCTTTTAGAACAGAAGACAGTGGTGACTCACAGTTCCGTTGATGAGCTGTATGAGGAGGAAGTCTCCCCGCTGGCTCATGACAGCCATCAGCACACCTGAGGTGGTTCTGGGGCGGATCTCCATCGTCACCTCAATATCCATCCCCACCTGGAACTCCTCATCTACACATGGAAGTCAAAGAATACAGCAAGGGTCAGAGAACAAAATATGACAACAAAAAATGTAAGCCTTAGGGCAATGCTAGAGCACTTTGCTGGAGTGGTAAAAATAGACTTGGCCTGTCGCGAAAACGAATTTTATGCCTACCTCGCTGGGTCATTATAACTAACATAGACTAAGAGATTGTGAACCAACACAAAAAGTGTTAGGTGAAAATACCAACAGATTTTAATGTCTGGCATAAGCTTGGTGACATGCCTGCTAGCCACATGGAAATCAGGGCTTGGTGCTGATTGTAACTTGTTGCTGATTGTAACAAACTATCCATAATAGTGCTTCCTGCCAAATTGGGCCAAAATATCTTAGCCCCTCAGGTACATGTACAGTCTAAAATCCCCATTTTCTTAGGTATTAAGAAGTTAAAAAAGTAAATTTGTAACCAAAAAATGTTACTGGTTACTGCATCACTCACCTACAACAAGGAAGCCTCCATCAGCAGTGAAGAAAGTTCCCACCTCCCCACTCTGGTAACACACCCCTACACTGTATGAGCGTGTGGGCTCACCCCATGGCTGGTCGTTCATGCGCAGGTCTCGGATACAACCATCGAAACTACGTTTGGCAGCATCCTGGGCAGGGGACATCACAGTGAGTTTCATGTGGATTGTCAACATTCATGTGGCACAGTAAAAGGTTTTGGTGCAGTTTAAGCCCTAGTCATTGCTATACTGGCATCTTACATCCTTTTTTTTTAGGATAAGCATTACTTATGATACCTAAACTGCACACATGATATTAAGATATTTGCCTTAATGTTATGACATACCTATGTTCCAACATCCCTTTGTTCCTACATCGGGCTAGGACTCAGACCTCTTTCCTATATCATAGAATGTACCATTTCAACCAGGTAAGTCAGTGTATCTGACACTTACCGGAAGCTTCTTTGCCACATCCAATGATGGCAGACCTCCTACGTAGTAAGGCTCTGCTGCGTCAATGAAAGAAGAGTTTCCTGGTGATTGTCCCTCCTTCAGTAGCAGTCCGTCCACGGTCAGCGTACCCCGCTGCAGCTCGCGGGAGAACTCCACTCTGTGCCACTGCCCGTCATTAAACTTGGTGCGACTCTTGAGCTTGAGCTTCCCGGTGCCACAGTTGAACATGTAGATGAGGTTGCCGTTGGTTAGGAAGAGGGTGACAAAGTTGGCCTCTAGGTTATCAGCCATGAAGAAGAGAAGACCACTCTTGTCAAAGGTCTTGAACTCCATGGAAAATTTGTACCTGTGGAAACAAATAAATACAAAGTATTATATGGAGACCCAGACAGACCTTCCAACAGACAGAAAGATCACACTGGATATGGTTGATCAAAGTGCACCCCAAAATGTTGTAACACATACATGTAGTTGTGGATCTTGTCTCCTCAATTTTTTTTCCTTTTATGCATGCTTTCTAATGTTTCCTGACTTACCTGATCCTAAAGGAGTCAGGCAGCTTGTTGTACTCCATCCTGCTGACTGAGGTCACACCAAACTGGAAGGCCTCTGCAGCGTCACCCAGTTCAGGTCTCAGCTTGAGTGCACAGGATGGCTCAGGTGCCAGCTTTGGGCCTGGTGAAGAAAGATACTGAAATCATCTTTTGGTCTTTTCCTTTCAAACTTATTTTCTTTTAGTTTTGCAAGTAAAAAATTATATATTTCTATGAAGGTCCATTGCTCCTAAATTGGTTACAGTGTTATATGCAGGCAGCAGGTAGATGGTTACAAATATAGCTTCCAACCTTTAGTGACAGGCTTCTGTGTGGGTCTTTTCTCTGGCTGTTCTGTAGTTGGAGTTTTCTCTGCCCCTCCTGTAGATGGTGTGACAGCAGGAGTTTGCTTTCTCTCAGGAGCAGCAGTGGTGGTTTTTGCTGCAGTAGGAGAGGGAGCAGGTGCTGGTACTGTTGTCTTCACTGGTTCGTCTGTGTCTGTGTCAACAATGGCAGAGGGCCGCGGGCGAACAGTGGGCATCGGTGGTTCTTCCACAAAACATCCAGCCAGGGACACTTCATACAGCTCCAAGGCATTGGAGTAGTCTTCAATGTCAGTCACAATGCCTTCCCTATGGAGATAGGAGCACATTAGATATGCAGGGATATTTGACAAACTTGTAAAAGTAATATGGGCGCAGTCACATTTGCCATAGGATGTACAATTTTGATGTGGTAGTATCTTCAACCAGGCTGTGACAGAAACCAACTGACAAGAGGCATTTCAGACAGCTTTCTCTGTAACATGACTGCTGAATTTTGTACGTCCCGTGCATGCACTGCATGACTATCCCAAGAGTGCCCCCAGGTTGTGATTGTATGACGACCATGCGGCACATGTGACTGGGCCCTTATCAAGAATGGTTAAACTGTTTTCAGACATGGCAAACATTATTGTTTGTTAGTATGTTGCAGAATATGGCATTGCATGACAATAACCCATCACCTTTAACAACCCTGAGAAAGGAAACATGCATCAGACTCTGTCTCAAAGGCTAGGGTCTTCAACTTACAGAGGAAACAGAGAGAGAGAGTTGTAAGACCCAGCCTTTGGAACACAGCGGAAACAACACAAACAAGCAGAACCAGCCAAACGTTACCGTAAAAACATGGAAGTCCTTGTAAACAGATAGAGAAAAAAGCAGGTGAAGTGTTAATTAGCCTTCATAGTGAAAATCTGTTCATGAGCATACAATGCACGTGTATATTACATCACATTACGCAAAATATGCTATTGCCAGCAAAAGATGCAGTGGACAGGAAGGACTTGATCTTTCACTACAACAAAGCATAGATAAAGACTGTGTTTCCTTTAGTAGGGTTCCTAGAACAGGTCACCCCTATACTAAATGTAAATGAAGAATGTGTAACAAGAAGAAGTGAACAGTTTAAAGTGTTTTTCCATGCATGTGTTCATGCATATATGGTGAGTGTGCAGTCAGCAGGCAGGAGTCATGCATTAGTCCGTACACATGGCTTAACAACTCATGTAGCCAAGTTGACCACAGAAAAAATCCAATAAACTGAGCTGAAAAAACATAGATCAGTATAGTCATTACTGAATTGTTGGAGTTGAACAGTTTGACCTGGGTCATGTCAACTGAAGTAAGATCACGGTACACAGCAGAGACAGATGTACAGGATACAGAAAATGTCGTTTACTCAGAATACAGGAAGATCTTTGCCACTTGGCACAGGTAAAATCAAATGTCTAATTGTCGTCTTGTACGATCCCGTAAGTTGTAATGGCCTGGTAGCCTGGCTCATCCTTTTCCATAAACCCATTGTAATGAAATGTTACACTGATCAGCATTGCAATAATTATTATTTATTTGCCAGTCCATATTTGCTACATGCAAATTGTTGTTACTTTGGATTTGTTTCTGAAAAATGTTAATTGGTAACAAACATTGGTATCAAAAATGACCAAAAGAAGACAAACTCTAAGACAGTCAACTTGATATAGCCAAGTGGCAAGATCTTTACAGTATGTACATGTACATGTATTGCAAGCAATAGAATAAAGGACACAGTGACAAAAATTCTCAAGCCACATTGGAGGCAGTAAAATGTTAATGGTGGATTAAAGAAGGTTAAAATGTAGAAGCATCTTCAAGCTGCAATAGTGTGAAGTCAGTGATATTGTGTGTATAGTGAAGAATTAATGAGCTAGTGAGGAATTAGCATTGTTAGTGAAACAGAACCAAGCCTAACCACTGTAATGATATGATAGTTGTTGGGACTGGGGTTACTGGTTACATGTAGATCACACTAGTCTAAACCAAAGCTTACTTTTCCTCAGGCTGGGGTGCCGAGAGATATGAGCTGGGTCTGTCCGGCAGGGAAAGAGAAAAACAAAAACATAAACTGAATTATAAAAGGATAAAACCAACCTTCCCAATTATACTGCTCTCCTTAATGTTAAGTTCATTATGACCAGAAGAGAACAAAATTTGTGGGTGGGTTGTTTTAGATCTTTTCCTTTCTTTGCATTCAACGTGTTCAATCAAAATCTCTTGAATCTTGGACTTTAGAGAGCAGAGCAGTTGTATGGGAACATTGGCAAACATATTAGAACTAGTGCTGTACCTACTTGTAGTACAATTTCAGGTAAAATATGTTTTCAAAGTTGTGTTAACATGGACACATAAATGTTTAGTAATGAAATTATTACACATTAAGATGCTAGTCATGAAACCTATTAGGCACATTGTTTATGTACTGTAACAAATGATTATACTGATTATTCTATCTGTTACAAATTGATTACTTGTAAGTATGTTCCAAAACAGTTGACTGAGAATCAAATAATCTGTCAGTCCTTGGAAAATGATGAAGAAATTATTTTACCACATTATCTCTAGTCTAGTCCATTTTGTCTTCTAAACCTATAATATCAGGTAAAACAATCAGTCATTCAACCCCATCCCTGGTGGAGTTCAAATCTCCAGTTGACAGTGATGTTGCAATAAAGGAGTTCACCTGAAAAGCAACCACACAAAATAACATCTTTGCCTGTTGTTGAAAAACTTTTTTTTTTCATTCCACTCTTCCAATCTCTGCATCAAACTTTTAGATACATACAATGGGAAAAAACATAGATACAACTATACAACTGTACACATCAAACATGTATTCATATTGACAAGCAAGATACAGTGTCTCATTCTCCCTGCAGAGTTTCTGTTTATGATGGTCTCGTCACAGTTTACATTGTGACATAAAAATTGATATCAAAACCTTTAATTTATACCCTTTAGCCACACAGCTAGTCTAACAGCTCAAAAGTCCATCAGACTGACCAGGAGTGTCCAGTCACCCTACCTGTTCAGTGCCACGTCACTGATGCAGCCCTCAAACCCTTCAGTAGAAGCGACTACCCCTGTCCTGATGCGTGTGGTGATGGGCACGCCGCCAAAGTAGATGGGTCTGGGAGTCAGCAGCTCCCTGAAGCTGGCATCCACACGCTTCTCATCACGATCCTCGTTATCCACAATCAGCGTGAGCCTAATGAGGAGACAATTAGGAACGGTGACATACTTCACCTGAAATGTGTTCATTCTCTTAATTGACATTTTTACAACTCATTACCACCAGGTATGGAGCTTTATATTAATAACCTCGTCATTTTGTAACACGGTTCAAGTTATCCCGCAGATATTTCTGAGGCATTTCATTTTTAAATAAAACAAATGTTGAAATGCCTTTGATATGATGTATGTTTGATAATACATGCAAGTAACACACATAATTCTTGAAGGTACAGACATGTATATGTATGACCTATACAATAAATGGACATGAAGAGCCTCCCATACTTGACTCCATCTTTCCTGATCCAGACATTGTGGTCACGGCTGTCATTGTAGCTCTTCTCCCTGCTGCGGACCTCGACATAGCTACTCTGGGACTTCACACTCATGATCACACCCCCGTCCTTCAGGGAGATGGACAGGGCCTGGCTCTGCACAGAGAATATAAGTTAGTAGCTGTAAGTATTGAAATGTTTGTGGTTATTTTATTTCTTTTATTGCAAATTCTTGGAGATATGCATTTCCAAGGTATTAGTACTAAACTATATAATTGTTTCAACTGGTACCCTGTTACTGCAAAATCAATAAGTTGCAAATATGTGTGCTGTACATTAGAATTGTTTCAACTGCAAATGTGAAAAACTTCAGTGTCAGGTAAATGCATTCTACATTTGTACCTACAGCACAGTTGGACCTTACCTGATCTTCATTGGCTGTGAACATGATGAGTCCCTCTGGCTTGACTGTTCGGAATGTCAGGATCATCTCGATGTTGCGGTACTCCTCGTCAGTGAACATGGGCATGGACAGGTACGACTCCGCACGGAAGGAGGCCACTCTTGTCACCTGGAGGATTACAGAACATGTAAGATGCAGTACCTGGCTTCTTTGTGTCCACCTTCAGTAAACCATCTGTCAGTAGTCCAGTTTGTTGAATACATGTAGACACTTACTAAAGGATATTGTCCATTTCAGAAATTCTGTTAGCTTCTCTCAATTAGATCATAATCAAACATCAGAACATTTCAAACATATGTCATGATTGCTGTATCAATGTACCATATCAGTTAACAGCCATACTGGTAACAAATATTTATGTTCTTGTCAGTGCAGGAAAGGAAAATGGCTTAAATCACCTTTGTTCATGAAATTTAATACCAACAGCTGTTCTACATTAATCTAAGTGCCTGCTCCAATCTCCTATAAGGTACAGAGCATATCCAAAGTCTTTGTAGTCTAATTATCTCATGTCAAACTTACAGTTGTCGGGCAGCCAGCCGTGATGCCCTTCTGTAGTGCCCTGCTGCCATAAAAGGTCTGTATGCGTCGTGTAATGGAGAAGTCCTGCATGCAGCCCTTAAGCCCTTCACTTATCACCTTGCCTTGGACCCTGCAGACAGGAGGTGGGCAGTGGTTAAATATTTGCATCATCAAGAGCAACAACAAGGCTAGCATTCATTTGCCATTTTTAAGTATGCACCACAATTCAGCTGGTGCAAAAGTCAATGATGTTTTCAGGACCAATGAGCTAGAGTAGTCACATATTATATTGTTCCTTTTTCTCTAGCTTCCTCTTTATGTTACTTACAAGTAGCCTTCAGGAAAGAATCTAGAATTGTACCATAATACATCCACACATAGCGGGGACAAGGGACCCTTGTTTTAGCACCAAGGACATTGCCAGTTACACCATTGACAGCCATATAGATAAATCAACAAGTAGTTTCTAACAATTATCTGACAAGTATGTTATATCCATTGTAAATACTGTTGTGCCTTTGAACACAACCAAATGATATAATTTTTTAACACATTAACGTGTGCATTTCTTATTGAAAATGCATGTCTTACTATGACATAGCCTGCCTGTGACTTACATGTCAGGCAGGTCTCCACTGTGTCCACCGATGAACATCCTGTCACCGATGTATGGCCGTGCTCCACTGCCGGGTACAGTACCTTCAGCCACCGGCTCAGCCTGGATCTTAAGCTGGGCCATGTTGTAGTTATCAAACCTCACTGTTATCTGGTGGGGAAAACAGAATAAGTCACAAAGACTGGAGTGAAACAGTGGAAAATTTGGGTGAATCTAATTTTTTGGGTCGGAAATCATAGTTCAAACCTGCTTCTGAAAAACATCAAGGCTGAGATAACTCAAGTACAATGTATTCCCTATCCTTTCCAGTGGGTTCTCAGATATCTCAGTAAGATATGTTCGGCAGCAAGCAATAACACAGCTTCCCCTGTCCATGGTGCTGAAGTTCTGGTGCTGACAAACAAGTCAACTGAAAACAGGTCTAAAAGAGACAATGGAAATGTGCGTTTCACAGACGCAACTTTTGATTGCTAAGGTAGAAAGTGTGGTCACATTTGTTGTACATTTGTACTTCATCATACAATTTTGACGCCGTAGAATTTTCAAGAAGGTTGTGACAGATCCAACTGCTGACAAGGATATAAGACAGCTTTTTCCATTACAAGACTGCTGAATTTTGCACATGCACTAATATCCTAGGAATGCCCACTACACAGTGAGCAAGCCCTTAGGCCACACCAATTTAATTTCTTGGTTAACGGATTAGCCGCTTCATTTTTTTCTGATTTGCAAATAAAAAAGAAAAATCCAGAATCAACTGCAAAATGCTCATATTTTGCCCTGAACAGTTTTAAAA